CAGCAGCCAGGAAACTGCAGTGAGCAATTTCGTTACTATTATCCGCTCGATCCGCTCGATATGTCCGTTCGATAGAGACTCTACGGGTGGGTGTCTGAAAATATTTAACGAAGATGTGGAATAAACATTAAATTCAACTGAAATAACATGCAATAGTTGTATGCGTTTTAACCCATAAGTAAGATGCACCGTCATTGAATTTTTAGTCGCAGATCTGGCTGACATAGCCTATATGTGCATATAGAGAGCGGACACCATATGTCGACCAGTATTGACCGGCGTTTGCCACTAATTGGCATCTGGGATCCGTTTTTTATTGAACATTTTAGCGTCCGAAACCGAAACCGAAAATTTCAACCGAAACTAATTCGACATGCTTCGTGGTAACTGGATGAACGTGTTTAATTATTGTACACATATAAATTTGGTCAAATTACATGCTTAGCATGTCTTTCATTGCGCGAGCACCAAACCATCTTAGAGTTCTACATGAAAGAACTTGATTTTGCATGACTGTGTCCAAGGCTACATAATCTATGTCAAGTTTTTAAAAGAAATGTGGTCAAATAGCATGCGGAAAGCCTGAAGATGGACTTGAATGAACTCCGAAACAAAATCAGTGAGCTTCGAAATATCGTGTGCGCTTGCATTCAAGTCTCAACCAAAACAAAATTAGAAAAGGGCTGCAAAATGGGCAACGGCGAACTCCAAACATGTTTTTGAAATGGCAGGGATTTATATAAGCTTGTTATGAGATGGCGTCAATTAATTCAATAGTTATCCGTAATATTTCCGTGCTGGCCCGGCCTACTATGCAGTACATGATTGGTTATATGGTGCTGACACACAGCCGTCAGCTGATCACGTTCTGGTTCTCTCCTGATGACTGGTTGGTTCCCTCCCGCTGTTTCTCTGGTTCTCCCCCGATGAACTTACATGCTTAAGAGCCGGACCATAGGCCACTACGGCTCGCTCTGTACCGCGGCGGCAAGGCTCAGCGGTGACGTCACGACGACGTCCGCCAATCTGGTCGGTTCTCTGGCGTCCTCGATGGGCATCGTTGCCATGACGACGACGCCGCGGCGTATGTGGTGCATAAGTGGTTGAGCGGAATTGGGCGTCGGCGCTGGCGCACACGAGCGACGCTTTGAGGCATTGCTGAGTCTCTGTTCCTGTCTTGTAGCTTTCCCCAACTCTGGTCCAGTCTCTATTTCTAGATCTGTCTCGGTCACTAGCTGTGTTGGCTGACCCTGTTTCGGCCCCAGCGTTGACTCTGCCTCTGTTCTTTGGGACCAGCGCTGTTCGTGGACCCGAGATCTGACTTATCGTGGTATGTGTGCTGCTGTTGCGTCCCTGACCCTTTCACGAATTGTCGTGTCGCTGGATCGTTTCTCTTGCCGACTCGGTCTCCACCCCAGACTGGCCACTGGTTTGAGTGGATCGAACGTCCTATCTATTTATTCATTTAGTTGACATCAGCTGACACTCAGCCTACATGAGTGACTTTCACTTCTGATTAGTCTGTGAGGTAAAACAGCATGTCGGTAACAACGGAAAGTGATGAGGGTAAAACGAAACACATGTGGGCATGCGCACATAAACGGCATGAGAAGGCTCTAAAGAACGCTTCTAACGCTCTTGTAGGGGTGTCACCACTTTGTGTAGGGATGTGACCCCCGAAGCCTTGTTTGGCCCCCGTGCAGCAGCAGCGATCACGGTAGTTGAAAGAGGGTTCCGTGGCTACTGGTCGGATTGCCGCGGTGTTGCACTTCTTGCCAGGGTGCCGGATGGATGACGTCATGCAACCCCAGGTGCTGATTTTGTCGTTAACTCCCAAACGGCGACTGTCGCTTCAAGGCGGTGTCATGTCATGTCCCTGCTTTGTCTCCTCCATCACCTCAAGGGTGCACATGGGAACGCTAAGCATCGGGCGCCGCTAACAGCCAAATGTCAGCGACCCTTCGCTCTCACGTGACAGCGTGCCGCATCACACATCTTTTGAAACTAACAAGCAGTTTTGATTGAAGTGCATGCTATGGGCGCTATATGACCGCGCAGGCGTTCCGACTGCGAAAATCCCAGTGCCAGAGACGGCGCCGTCACCGGTGCTCTCGAGCCTTCAGTGTATGACAGGGGCGGCGCCATGGAATTTGAGTGCGGGGGGAAAGGGCAGGATTTTCCGAGGGTCCTAGATAAAATGGGCCCTGCTCACCCCTAGGGGGCCTCCTAGGCAGTGTCGTGTTCAAGGAGAGGGATGTTGAGGGCATGCGCTCTCTTACCAAATTGTTACATGCATCATATCCAACAAAATTAATGTCGACAATTTAAGAATCCAGAATGGGGCCTTCTGGCTGTTCAACAAAGGGCCTCGCTCCCCTAACCAGGGCTACCTGTTCCAGAAAAGAGTCTCCTATGCATATATAGGCCTCCTTATCCAGAACAGCATGCTCTTCCGATTCGCAAAGAGGCCTCCAAATCTAGCCAGAGGGCCTCGTTTTCCAAAAACTGACAGCATTTTGCTGAAAGCACAACTCAAAACATCCTGATCCGGAACCATGGCCACCCGATGCATGAAAAGGCCTCCCTGGTCCAGAAATTGAACCTCCTGAATACGGAGGGTGTTTCTTACTCAGAACAGAAACCTCCTGGATCGCAAAGGAGCCTATCGAGCATGCAAAGGGCATTCCTTAACATAAGATTTAGCGTACTTATCTAGTGCATGAACAACATAATTCATAAAGGCGGCCTCATGATCGAGAAAACGGCCCCTTGATGTACAGAAACGTCGCCTTAGTCCGATTGATCACTCTAGCTCAGTCATGAAGGGCCCTCCTTCACCTGAACATTGGTAATCTACGGGTAGCTACAATGCCTGTAGTTTGGGAAAAAGAGGTGCCCCCAAAATTTTGAGCGGGAAAAACATACTCTTACCCCTCTGCCCCCCCCCCCCCCCCCCCGCCTGCCTGTGCCGCCCCTGGTATCGGCCTCAGCGCCGCCCTACGCTGCCGACGACCGGACTTCCGCTCACCTGATCACCAGCCAATCTTGTCAGGGGCTCAGCGTTATCACCATCCGCTGGGAGTCGCTCATCCCATCCGACCCCGGGTCACGCACTGCCGACGGCTGAACGCGACAGGCGATGCCGCCGGGCGTGCCGGGAGCGACAGGCGATTGCCGCCGGCCATGGCGCGCACGGCCGGGCGCTCGGTGTGCGGGGGGTGGGGGCAGACAGCGCCATTGTCCAGCTGAGAGCCGGCCTCCTCACGGCGCCACGTCAGGGAGCAGCGGGAACGCATGTCCGCGCGGGGAGGGGGGGGGGGGGGGGGGGGGCTGACAGCGATCATGTAGTCCCCGTCAGGGTGAAGGAAAAACATGCGTGGGCGGTTGTCACGCTTCGGGATGAGTTTCCCGGAAATCGATGCGTTAGTGGACTGACAGCGTTGCCGGAGGGTACAGGCGCATGTTGCGTTCGGCATGCGGTCTTGACCACCTTGTCGGATGGCGGATGATGTCTGTCTTCACGGAAGTTGGTTCGGTTAGCAATAAGCAAAACGTATGGACGGGGATGCCCATGTGCCGTCTGCTGGCTTTGGTCGGCGTGCCTGTTGGAAAACAGCCGCCGGTTTGTGAGACGGTCCTGCCAAAAGTGGAGTAAGTGATGTCAAAAATCCTGGGCACGTGAAATGAACGAGGTGAGCTTGCGAGCATGCCTGGCGGCACATGTTGAGAGTGCCGCCAAGGTGCTCTGGCGGCCCAACGCAAGTGCAGGTTGAATGCCGTTTTCATGTAATGTATCGGTCATTCGATGGTCATGAAAACTTGCGGCGTGGCATTTCATTTTTCTTAAGAAGTACATCCTGCGTGTTTTAAACCCAATGCGTAACCTCCGACTGCAACATAGCGTGTTTTAAGTTGCAAGGAAGCCCAGTTAAAATTTAACCTATGTTTTACCAACAGTGACAGGTGTATATTTCTCGCGTAACACTAGGACATTGGGGCGACACTGGGGCATTCGAATGTGAATTCATTGGTAAAATATGATCACTATATATGAGCAAGAAAGGCCCTCAGCTTCTGGTTTTTCCGCATCGTAATTTTAGAGTTGTTATGCCGTGTTATCGGTCCTCAATTTACTATGTGGCGCTGGTTAAACGACGTTATAGAGCGAACATTGGTTATATTGACAGCACTCGACACTCAAAGCCGTGTTTATGGTGTCGAGTGAGTGTGGTAGCACTCGTAACCTTAAACGTAGTTTGAAACGTCGACCATGGCGATTATTTGTTATGGAGTTGAATGAAATGCTGAAACGGTGGTTCAGTTTTAACTGAAACGGTAATTTTATTCTGCCGTCTCGACGAAAGAGGTAACAGCGGAGCAGTAGGTTGGGGTGTCTCATAGTTTAGGTGAGGCTGGGTATACAGCGTTTTGAATGTGGCGTGTGGACTGTGGATGTTGTATGTAAATAGACTGAAAATTAAACTTCGCATCTCACCAACGAATTTAAAAAAATTAATCGCGGTGCCAGCATTCGTGTTAAGGTCACGCACTTCTCACATCGCATTCTGAGTCTGTTTTGCTGCGTTGTGACAAAGTTATTTTCACATCCTTTTGTCGTAGCGCACACAACGCATCCCACTGCAGACGAGCCCGCGCGCGGCGGCCTCGCGTCGCCGGGGGGGGGGGGGGAGGAGAGGGGGGCAGTCACGCCGCGACCCGCGTGGCGACATCGATGGCCGCGCTCGGTCGACACACGGACGTGATCAGTACACACCGCTATGCCTGCCAAACATGCGTTGTTGTTTGTATTGTTTTTGTGTGCAGTTACCTATGAGGCATCGCATAGCGTCCGCTTGGTTCCTGTTGTTTCAGCTATCGTCAGGGCATTTTAAGGGTGTGTTTTAGTTTTTGGTTAGTTATTAATTTGTTCTTATTATCAGTACGTCTGGTCGCATTTATTTCATATCTTACCGTTATTACTGCCTTTATCTGGGTCGCAGGCGCCAGCAACATATCAACCAGCACGAGCAGCTTCGAAGCGGGTGTCCAGCACGACCCGAATCTCAACCGACTGGCGATCAACATGTTTACCAAGACGGAGCAGTACCTGCAGGGCGAGCTAGATTCCGTCACGGTGAGACGCGCCACGCGCAGCGGCGCGGGCAGGGCAGCCAGCTGAGCTTCCAACCGCGAGGCTGCGGGTTCGAGTCTGCCCACCGGCGCTGCGATTCGACGCCGGTCTGTGCAAAGGTCTTTCGCCGTACGGTTTTGCGTAGTGACTTAGACGTGGGTGAAAGCAGTGTCAGGTGGTGGTGGAATGCCTTGTCGCGCGGTAAAACCGAGATCGGTTTCCGTTGACAGAGACCGGCGGTGAAATGGCCCCGTTGGTGGGGCAGGGCACCGCGGAGGTCACTCGACCCCCCCCCCCCCCCTCACTAGGTACCACCTGCTGGCGGAATGCTGGATTGCGTCATGGCGAGTACCAGTTGCTAATGTTCTATTCATGGCAGGGCTAGTACCAATTGCTCATGTTCTGCCGTATCGTGCAGGGTGAGTACCAGCCGCTGATGTTCTGCCGTATCGTGACAGGGCGAGTACCAACTGCTCATGTCCTGTTCGTATCGTGACAGGGCGGAGTACCAGTGCTGATGTTCTGCCGTATCGTGACAGGGCGAGCACCAGCTGCTGACGTTCCGTCGTATCGTGACCAGGGCGAGTACCAGCTGCTGACGTTCCGCCGTATCGTGACAGGGCGAGCACCAGCTGCTGATGTTCTGCCGTATCGTGACAGGGCGAGCACCAGCCTGCTGATGTTCCCGTATCGTGACAGGGCGAGCACCAGCTGCTGACGTTCCGTCGTATCGTGACAGGGCGAGTACCAGCCGCTGACGTACCGTATCGTGACAGGGCGAGCACCACCGCTGATGTTTCTACCGTATCGTGACAGGGCGAGTACCAGCTGCTGACGTTCTGCCGTATCGTGACAGGGCGAGTACCAGCTGTGACTGAGATGAACCGACGCACTCATGCCAAGTACGAGGAGATGAAGGCAGTGGGCCAGGAGACTCATTCCGCTATCGAGCAACTCAACACCAAGTATACCGAGCTCGAGCCATACCTCAGGTAAGCAGAAAAACGCTGGGACTGGAGGACGCTCAGGGAGCTGGAGAACGCCCGCCGGGACTGAGAACGCTCAGAGGGGTGGGAGAATGCTACCGAGACTGACAAACGCTCAAGTGAGCTGGAGAACGCCGCCGGGACTGACGAACGCTCAGGGCAGTGGGAGAACGCCACCGGGACTGACGAACGTTCAGGGGAGTGGGAGAACGCCGCCGGGACTGACGAACGTTCAGGGGAGTGGGAGAACGCCGCCGGGACTGACGAACGCTCTGAGCACGCTCAGGGGAGTGGGAGAACGCCGCCGGGACTGACAAACGCTCAGGGGAGTAGGAGAACACCGCCGGGACTGACGAACGCTCAGGGGAGTAGGAGAACGCCGCCGGGACTGACGAACGCTCAGGGGAGTGGGAGAACGCCGCCGGGACTGACAAACGCTCAGGGGAGTAGGAGAACACCGCCGGGACTGACGAACGCTCACTGGAGTAGGAGAACGGCGGCGGGACTGACGAACGCTCACTGAAGTAGGAGAACGGCGGCGGACTGACGAACGCTCGAGTGAACAAGAGTGTGCTGGCGGCGCTGGAGAACGCTCAGGGGAGTAGGAGAACGTCGGCGGGACTGCAGAACGCTCGAGTGAACAGGAGTACGCTGGCGGCGCTGGAGAACGCTGAGGTGTTAGAGAACGCTCAGGTCAGCTGGACAACGCCGACGAGAAAAATACCTTAAGCGCTAAGTTATTAACGGTCATTCCATATTTTACGTAAATATTTATTTCCACGCGCCGTTTGTGTTTCAGCAGTAATATTTGCCTTCACTCAGTCATTCTAACATAAACACCGGCATGAAACGTTGATGATTCTCGTAACATGAAGCGGTTACTTGAAAGATTGTGATATTGAAGATCTATTATTTCCAGCGTGAGAACTCAACCTCACTTTGTAATCAGGCGTGCAGTGTGAAAGTGCAGTGTGAGATGCAGTGGGAGGGTGCTTTCTGAAAGTGCGGTCTGAAGTGTAGTCGAACGAATGAACGAGCGAGCGATCACACAACTGAGCCTCCGAAGAAATGCATCCACACATACAGATCGGCCTTGCTGTACCTGCAGCGACCCTAGGTGATACCCAGCGATCTATTTTGCGGCCGTCTGGACGTGCCCCGAATCCGGTCCATCCGCCTCCCACCCTCTCGCCCCTGCTGTCCTGAGGTAGCGCATAAGGGCGCTAGGCCTTGTGTGCAAAGCGTCCGCCGGGACTGGCGCTGGGTTATTTCTGCCACACTGCATCCATTCGACTTTCACTTGGGCAGCGTGACATCCCCGAGCGCCTCGAGCTACAGTCTCCTGACCCTAAACAAGCGCGATATATGGAGCTTCTCGCGAACTTCCACAGCGCCGCCGCGTGTGACCGACCGGCGCTTAGAGCTCCATTCATCGTCTGCGGACGCCGGAGGCGGCGGTAATGATCATTACGGTCGCAGCTATGTCGAGCAGTGTGTGGCGAGTCGGCCTGGCTGTCGTCGCGGTGAGGTCGGAGTCGCGGGGTCATGTCGCCCGGTTCACGCGTGGTGATTAACGGGACGGCAGCGCGTTCTGCGCTACGCTTTTTAAACAAACCTGGATGGATGGATTTCTGGGGCCAGAGCTCACGCTTGACAGTGCTTGTGCGAGCCTTGACCCCCGTCATTCGATCGCGCGTCCCAGGTCAACGGCTGAATTCGGTGGCGAAAGTTGAACGTGCCGCAGTGCTCGGCACGGTCCGTCCTGCCCTCCGGGCCCTGCCATCGGCCTGCCGCCACCAGCCGCGGGCCAGACCTGTCAAGGACAAATAGCGCGCTTTAAGTGACCTGAACCCACCCCGCCACGGTGGGTGGATGGAAAGGCAGGCGACCTTACCAATTGAGTCACCAGGACGGGACAGAAGGGATGTTCACTGAAACACGATTGGGTGGCTTGTGTGTAGGTCCTTCTGTCCCAAATTTTGAATCTTGGCCGAGGCGTCCATGGCTCGGAGGAAGTCCACGCCGTCTCACGCGCACACAAGTCACATCTGGGCACTGATCGCCTTAGCCTCTGTTTGTGTATGCGGCTTCCGGGTCAGAGGTGTCCGTAAAGTTTGGAACATAAGGCTTCAAAGGCTGTCAATTCAGAGGTCAAATAGTAGAAGGGTGCACCTCAGCACGAGCGCCCCGTGACCACGGGTTGAAGCTGTCTGATCAGAAACAGCTACTCGTGGACTAACATGCATGTCATTGCTGAGCAGCTGTGACAGACGTGGCATAGTCGGTAGGTTGGCCTAGCCTAGCCTTAGCCGAGCGGCTGCAGGTCAGCGGCAGTGACAGACGGGTGTCAATGTGTGGCGACGCGGCACGTGCGGGGTACATCCCTTCACATGCAGTATTCGATCGACCCACTCCAGTATTCGATCGACCCACTCGACCCATTCGACCCACTCCAGCCACCCATTCGTCTCCGAAGCCCGTCACTGCACCAGACTACGCCGTCTGAGTCGCTGTAATTGGGTTCCGGGGAAGAGGGATGTCAACTCTGGGCACACGCGCCGCGTCAGGTGCCGCCACAGAGCTCCCTAAGTGTGCAACGTTCGATGGTTCGGTTACGGGCTCTCAGCCCACTGTTCGTCTGCTCGACCCGGCCCTCGGAGGCCGTCGAGTCCGGACCTGTGCGGGTCACGCCGTTGGCCGCACACGGCTGTCCAACTGCAACTGCAACTGCACGCATCCCGTGGTGGCACCCGTGCTGTCGTCTCGCAGGGTGGTGCATACTGTGCCGCGCGCCGACGATCGATTTGAACCACCGGCGCCGGTGTTTTCGCCCGCGCTGACGCACCAGGTGGCGCCACTCCTGCCGCGATCCGGGGGCGCGCTTTGGTGCAGCACGCCTGCATGCCTGAACACGCACTCACACACACTGTCGCACACACACGCAGCCAAACATGAGACCCGAAGCTTTTTTCTGAACCGACCCCTCGTATTAAATCTTGCTTCGCTAAAAGCGTGCAAGGGACGTATTTTACTCCGTAGATTTTGAATAATCCCACGATTGTTATGCCACTGTTGCCGGGGACGTACGGTAGCTCCGTGCACACGATACTCTGTACTTGCATAACGACGCGGTTTTCTTTGATTTCCCTGGATAGTTCGGCGGAAGTACATGCGGCCGTTGGGAGATACGGGCTCGTGTGGTGGCTGCGGACTGGTGACGATGCCCGGCGTTGACGACAGTCCAGGCGGTCTTTCGGTGGAGGAAATGTTCCAGAGCGGAGAGCAACAGCGTGTGCAAACTCTGCACTCAACAAAGCTGAGCACAATGAGAGCCGGGCGGGACTAGGCTTGGGATGGAGCAGTGATGTTTTGATGTTTGAGGACGTCTTAACATGAAGCGGTAATGCTTTGATGTCTGAGAACTTCTCATACACCATGTACGTATACTGATGCATGATGCTGGTATCATGCATCACATCGTCCTACCTGCGCATTCTCGGTTTTAGCAGTCCGTATTTGCCCCTTGCAAACATTACGTGCGTTTTTTTTTTTAAGCAGAAGACGCTGTCAGTTCGCTGACACTGTACGTATGTTTTATTTAGATTTCACACTTCCGGCTCCCACCCACTTATAACTATACGTTCTCACCAGTTAACGTCAGGAATTTGATTAGATGCTTCACAACCAGTTCCACCAAAAAACTTTGTTCTGAAGATTTTTTTACACTCCCACACCCTGATTATTTGTATCAGCATTTATCTTTAGCCGTGACTGGGTGTCTTGGATACCCAAACTGATATTGTGATTGATGTGGTGTTAGGCCCTTGTCTTGGAGATCATATTTTTTGGTCTTTATCAGCAGTTCCAAAAGCAATGCGACACTTAATCTAAACAACTTGCGTTGTGACTTAATGCCAGGAAGCCGGAGGCGGCCGAAATGAGACTGTTGCCAAGCTTAAGTCACCAGATAGCTCAAATTAATGCAGACCAGCCGTATGGAAGCCAGATCGACACCGACTGAATCAGGTGCTGACTCAAACTGCCAGGTCTGGGGTAGCCTTACCTGAATACGCGCGGTTATGCTAGAACAGCGCATCACCTTTCCCATCGCCATGGTGATTTATGGTTGCCCAGCTTGTTGCTAGGCTCACGATGGAAATCACAGACGTGATCCCTTGTTCCGGCTTTTAAACATATCTTCGATGCTGCCGCTCTGGTTCTAATCCTTCCGCCAAGCGTAATCTTCTTGAGCTGTTCGGAGCTGTGCAATGTCCCCAACAACTTCGTAAGTGAAGTGACATGTTGAAAGGAACTGATCTCAGATCCGGAGCCATTGACGTATTGACGAACTAAGCGACATTAAATGAAGAAGCTCTTTCTGTCGCGAGCTATCGCAAGGAGTGTTCATCGAACAGACCCCTTCGCAAATCTCTGGCAACATGTTTTCGCATCTGTTGAGCTTTGTGATGCTGTGGCGGTCAGCACCGTTTTGGTGAAGACCACAGCGCCACCCGTGTGGTGTCACTCAGGGGCGTGCTAACGTGTCACTCGCTGGGGATAGCATGTTGGGTATGGTAAGGCCACTTTGTGCAGTTACCGAGGTTGCATATGTTTTATCTGACGGTCGTACCGCCCAAAAACTAAAACCATCACCATTGTGATGATTATATATATATATATATATATATATATATATATATATATGTGGGTGTGGGTGGGGGGGGGGGGGGTGGGGGTGGGGGTGGGGGTGTGTGGGTGTGGGCGTACCATACCATTCCTATGCATTTGTAGCAATATATATATATATATATATATATATATATATATATATATATATATATATATAGTGGTATTCAGCTCTGTCCAGTTAGTAAAATCCTAACATTCTGCAATTAGACGTTTCAGTTCTATTTGAGCCTGTAGCAGTATGGACAACCGGTCTCTCCATGTCATATCGTGAGAATAAATTCGGCATATGGGCGTTGGTTGTGAGACAGCCTCCCTCC